CTTTACCATGTTGAAAGTAGCGATGAATAAACCAACGCCGATTCTTTGAAGAGATGTGATTCCAGAATGGTGATTAGTGATCTTACGAGCAAAAGGGACGAAAACGCGGTCGTAAAGAGGAATTAAGATGAGGATGGTAACACCAACAATGCTCTGGAAAGCAGCAGGAGGGATGGTGAAGTGATTTCCAATGGTTCTGTTCATAGTGCTTCCTTGCTTTAAGAAGAATGTGTTGAGCTGAGTAAGTGTAGCACAAAACATTATCAAGCTTAACCATATTGGTACGAGCCTCAATAGTAGCTTTACTTCTTCCACTTGGTTCACGGAACATAATCTCCATGGGTTTCTTTTATTTTTGTTTGAAGTATTATCAATCTCATCAATAATTGTAGCTTTATCCAGAAATCTGCATCATGTTAAAATGATTATAATTAGTACTAAACAGTTTTTTTTTCTCAATATTTACTCTTCCTTGGATTTTTTTTTTTAAGTTTTTTATGATGATTGGAAGATTTAAACTAAACTAAATTTGGTTCTACAACATTTTGAAATTCTTACCGTCTAAAGCGATATATCGATCGTGATCAACAATGATTGAATTATTTTCTTCATTGGGTTCTGACTCAAAACTATGATTGTATTCAGAACAAGATATATTCAATACTTTAAACCAATACAAAATGTCATTATCCCTCTAACTAATGACTATGAACGTGACGTTGTGCGATTTCATTAACAGAATGTACCTAATTGCTTAATTTCTTTCTTCTTTTTTTTGAGAAAAATAATTATTTTCATTTTTAAATTTGATACATAGTACAATATGTAAGCATCTTCACGTGATTCCTTGCACGTTCACAGAAAGAGATAGAGAACTAGTCCGAATATTCATTCTTTTGTCGAGTTTTTTTCAATGTAATTAAACCGATGCCATATGACTCATATTCATTTTTAAAATTGTAACAAATCTGTACGATATAAAACAAAATCGGAAAGAAAAAAAATCATCAGCAGGAAATCTACAACGCAATGGTATGTGGCATGATCAATTTTATAATAACAAAAATACTATTGAATCGATAGAAATACAGTTGTCACCCCCAACGACTTAGTTCCAATTGGACTACGTATACTTTAGGTCACACTTTATACCAATATATTAACATTAAGATGCATATAATGTACCCCATAAACCGAGCATGTTGGACCACTTTTCATATCAAATTTTCATTATAAAAACTATTGTTGAAATTGAGGTGATAATGATATATATAATAATAGCAAGTACCTGAATTGATTAGTTCTTGCAAGAAGATATATTTTCTTAGCAGTTGTTGACTTCTCCGGCGACTTGTCCTCCTCCTCGTAGCATAGGCCATAGTGGTGGCGCGTGGAGCTCAATCGCCATTTTTTCAGAGCAGCGACGATGACCTGAGCAACTCTCGTGAAAGGACTTCCCACCGGAACTTGTTTTCGGTATTTCGGAATTCCAATCAGAAAGATCACTATTGCTATTCCTACACTCCCTGCTATTACGCTGAATCCTACTGACCAACTCACACGTTCCTGTAATAATAACAATTAAAGTGAAACAAAAATATTTAGATTTTCTTTTGTTTTTGTTTCAAGGTTTTTTTACCACAATAACGTTTTGAACGATCATTGAGATCAATACCATTAATAATCCCATAGTTTCCTGACAACCATATAATGCCAACCAGCTTTTAAATATGAAAACATTTCTTAAGTATTTCAAGGCAAGAAAAATAGTAGTATTTAGTTTTTATATACTTTTCCGAATTAGACCCAGAATATGAATTATATATAGTTGTTTAGCTCGACAACGTGGTTACGTGACTAATTATTGAAACATACATGATCATATATCTAAAAAAATAACATAAAACTAATCATCTCTATT